GAACTGAGACTGGGAGTTGGTTCCATAGGAGAGGAGCTTGATAGCTAAAGGCTCTGCCTCCCATTCTGCTTCTGTGGACTCTAGGAACCACAAGTAAACCTGCACTCTGAGAGCGAAGTGCTCTGTTAGGATGATAAGGCTCTACGAGGTCTTTAAGATACGATGGAGCCTTGTCATTATTGATATCAGGATTTCAAGAATCAATAACTGAATTGTTCAAACAAGAATCACGATAAATCAGAAAATCAATTTTTTTTCTTCTCCAGTGCTAGTAATTAATATTAATTAAATACGGCTTTTCAGTCATCAAGCAAATGCCTAAATGAGACAAATGATAATGTTAATAGCTCCACCTGTGCTGTTCCACTCTGAACAGGTTAAAATGTTGTAGAACAGATCTATACAAGATCTAAATGTTTATTGCACCATGTGGTCAAGCATCTTTGTCTAATCATGATGTAATACTTTGTCCAGTGCTATACCAAAATCAGTTTTAATGCAGTGATTGTCTTACAGGCAACAATTGGCATTGACTTTTTGTCAAAGACCATGTACCTAGAAGATCGCACGGTAAGATTATTATTTTTTTTTGTAATTCTCATCATTCCCATTATCATAGCTTTAAAACTGTTAAGAGAGATCAAAACATCCATCTGCTTTTTAAGTAGATGGCAGCATTTATTTCTTTTTAACCATTTCACATTGTGTTTTTATAGTATCCTAGATTGTACTGTTCGTTTTGTTAAACTTGTAATCATGCTTTTAGTTCCCATCATTATTTCAAGTTTTTGTTTTCCTTCCATCCCCTGGCTGGGTCATGAAATACCCCCACCCCACACCCCCGTTCACACATTCATTTTGTGGCTGGCCACAGATTCGGCTGCAGCTCTGGGATACAGCCGGACAGGAACGTTTCCGCAGCCTCATCCCAAGTTACATCCGAGACTCAGCCGCTGCTGTGGTGGTTTATGACATAGCCAGTAGGTATCATAGCCTCGCCTCGCCTCGTTGTCCTATGCAAGGGCAAGAATGAGCATTTACTAGCCTGTCAAACCCCCGTTGGGCAGTACAGTGGGACATTTCTTGAGCAGTGTCCAGGAGGGTTTATGCTTCCTAAGTCCTGCTACATATGAGGTTGATGGAAGGAATAACAGAAAATGTCTCCCACTCATGAGCAGTTATCATCTGAAACAGTCTCAGTAATGATTTGGCATGGCCTTCTTTTACACGTCTTACTTGCATAACACTGTTCATCTCCTGACCCCTCTACATTTGAAAGATTCTCCCCATCTCTCCATAAAGGCCCCTCCGCTGCTTGGCTTGCAGTTCTTTTATGCCTGTTCTATTCTCCTTTTTCTTGTTCTGTCTTTCCCCTGTTTATCTCCACCTCCCTGTCCCTTTCCTCTTCTCCGTTCCAATCCTCAGGTCCGGCTCCAGCTTTGGGACACTGCCGGACAGGAGCGTTTTCGTAGCCTAATTCCAAGCTACATCCGTGACTCTACCATTGCTGTGGTTGTTTATGACATCACCAGTGAGTCAGGGCTGTACTCGAGTCTTTCTGTAGGGGACTAGAACAATTGGATGGAAGCCTTCTTGGCAACTATATATTTCTGTTAATAACCTTCACAGTCTTCTTGAAGCTTCTCTTCTGAATACTTTTGCTTACTAACACATGCTCTATGAGCTAAGGTACTCTACCTGTTTCATGTATCGTAATACCTGCTCGTGAACACCTTTAACTGTAGCTAATATGTGATTTATGTCTTTCAGGGATACGCATGGTTGATGTGTAATTTTTTTTTAATTTTTTATCCACAGATCTAAATTCATTCCAGCAAACTTCAAAGTGGATTGATGATGTTAGAACAGAGAGAGGAAGTGATGTCATTATCATGCTTGTTGGGAACAAAACAGACTTGGCAGATAAAAGGTATATGGTTGTGCGAGATGTGTGAATGATTATAATGATGATAGAAAGACTAGGTTTATATTTCTACTACAATTACACAATGGGTAGCATGAAGTATTGCAGCACATAAACTCTGCCAAAGCCTGGAATCCCACTTTTCTTCCCTTCAGTGCATCTCATCCAGTTTTGACTTTGTTCATCCCTTGGTATTTTGCATCTTTATTAGTGATTTACAATGAGTACTTTATTCACATCTTTATTTTGAATGATTTGATTGTATTTCTGTTATGCCTTTTTTCATAGCTTTTTTTTGTTCCCTTCCCTGGTCTGTTCTTTCCATGTCATTTTGATTTATTTATTTTTTTTGTGTGTATGCTTCCCTCAACACCACACTTCACACCACTCCCCTCTCCCTTCCCGGGACCATGGCAGGCAGGTTTCTGTTGAGGCGGCAGAGAGGAAAGCTCGTGAGCTCAATGTGATGTACATAGAGACCAGTGCCAAGGCTGGCTATAACGTCAAACAGGTTGGTGTTTAGCAGCAGCAGGTGTAATACTGACAAATGATCCTGACGTTTCAGCACAGGTCATAATGTCCTGTAGGTCAGGGAGACCAGCTTGTGACAACTCCTCATTCATTATATGGATCAGAGTGTAGCTGTTGAATGAATGAGTGAGCTCTGGAGTCAGTTTCCTGCTGTATCATCTTTGCTCAGTGAGCACAGCAACTTCTCTCCCTTTGTCTTCCTGTCTGTCTTTCTGTGTTATAAATAAACTAACCCCTCTCTCTTTCTTTCACCCAAAACAAAGAATCTGTGTTGAGCTCTCTTTGTTTCTCTCTCCATTTCTTTTCACCCCTTTTGGCCTCGTCACAATGTTTCTTTCCATATCTGTCTGTTCGTCCATCTCCCCCCCTTCTGCTTTTACCTGAGCAGACAGATCACCACGGAGGAGGGCGAGCAGAGAGCTAAGGAACTGAATGTCATGTTCATTGAAACCAGCGCAAAGACTGGCTACAATGTCAAACAGGTAGAGATTCTGCTCTCTGGGTAGTTGAGCTCATTCGGCCCTCAAATCCTACACGTAACTGCTTTCACCTCCTTTTCCTCTCTTGTGGGTCATCATGACGTACCTAAGAAGTCTCAGTACATACTGTATCAGTTGTGTTTCGCTATACAGTATACGCTTCGCTTGTAGAACTGTCAGTGTCAGTTCACTTGTTTTGCTCAAGTTTACCGCTGCTTTGTTTTGATCAAGTATTTTTGATGCACTAAAACCTTTGCAGGTTTTAAAATATTTCAGTGAATATAATGAAGTTGCTTTGTGGAGGAGTTTAGCACAGCAACATTCATTTTCATGCTCTTATCTCAATCAGCATTTACAGCTTTAACTGCGTTTTGTGTTTTGCTGTTATTCATTAAAATGTATTGCTTAGAAGTGACTAGTGTGAACTTGACCACTTTGTGACTATACTGTATATAGGTCATTTGACAGTAGGGCTGGGTGATATGATGGTATAGAGTGTGTAAGGATGATGTATATTTTTTGTTTATTTTTTTTTTGTAGGCCAACCCTGAAGTTGGCATCACTCTGGTTTGTTTGACAAAAAGCCACTGAGAAATGCGCTCTGTGACAAACTAAGCTAAGTCTCTGTATTTGGAGTGATGATGTTTAATGTTCCAGAGAGCCTTTCCAGTCTCATTAACCACTTGCTAGTAACTGCCTTTTTTAAGTCACGTACATGCAATATAAATCAAGTGGGGCATTTACTGACATATTTTACTTTGTAGAATAAAATGTGAAAATGAGTTGGTCTTGTTAGCCACAGACAGACATCTCACCAAAAACCTTTTGAAAAAGCCCATTGACTTTGGGGTGAGGGAACCAGAAGTGCAAAAATGCTAACTCACTTCTGGGTTTTAGGACTCACTACTACAGTACTATCTAGACAGTATATAGTGGAGTGTTAAACAACAACATTAGAAACTGTCATAGATTTTCTAGGAAACTATCCCCAGTGTCACTTGCTGTACTTGGCCATTGTGGGTGTCACAAATCAATTGGCAGGACTGCATTGTCTCAGTATCGGAGGATGACAGGATTTTTGCATCAATGTGACAAAGTTTCTTAATTTTTCAGATACTGAAATAGACAAAAACACATTTTCAGCCAGGTTGTTTTATGTATTAAGGGTCTCTGTTACAATATTTCAGTAATGAAATAGTGAAATTATATTTACTGTAATAGATTACATCTGTATCATCCACCCCTGTGTGGTGGCATTTTACCATATATCTGTTTCTAGTCAGACCTGTTTCAGATGTGTCCAACTATGTAATTCTTTTTACTTTGTTTTACAGCTGTTCCGTCGTGTTGCTGCTGCATTGCCAGGGATGGATAGCACACCAGAGAAAAGCAAAGAGGACAGTATCCTTTTTAAGTTGCTTTCAACAGAAATTGCCATATGATTGTCAGGCATTATTCCTGCCAAGGCAGGGAATTTGTTAGCTTTTTTTTTTTTTAGCAAAAAAAAAAAGAATGTCTGTTGTTGATTTTGTAGCCATATAGGTCTGCCGAAAATACTGAAGTGAAATTTGCAAGTTCATCCGTGACGTTACTTAACCAAGGCCACTCAGTGATTGACATCAAACTGGAAAAACAGCCAGAGATGACTGTCACCGAGAGCAGCTGCTCATGCTAGTACACCTCAGCCCACCCAGCCTGTCTCCTCCCCATCAACAGCTTGTCTCTCAGTGGCCACTCTCTCCACCCATGGCATGCTGCCACTGGGATGGAGGACCTGTCTTCTTTTTTTTTTTTTTCCTTTTCAACTCAGTGACTTTTCGGAGTAACTGTGTGGATGTGCATTACTGTATTGAAACACATTATTTGGAAAAATGGTTCAAAAGTAAACATTTAAAATAAGGAATAAGTTAAATGATATGTTCAGATTTTCATCCAGTTGCATGGCATTATATAGGACTGCAGACTGACATAGCTAACTGCTCATGAGTTATTGCACAGTTTGGAAACTTAGTGCTGTTACTCTTGTCATTGTTGTAAAGTAAAACTGCTTGGGATTATTTAAATGACTGCAAAGTTAAGTTATCAGCACACTGTATTTTGTTTTAAATGAAGAGTTTACCTAAAACTATTCTATCACTCAGATAAGTGATCATTTCTTAACTTTGTCTTAATTTGAGGAAGTAGAGACAGGATCTTACCAGTGAATTTGCATCATTGCCAAACATCATATTACCACGTTAAACTCCGATGTTTCCTTCTCATTAAATAGCGTCCACAGATCTATTAATATAAACAGTAACATGTCTGCTGTATGCTCAAATAGCCAAATACAACAGTGTGTTTGTAGATCAGAGTCACATAATTTGAGACCTTATTTAAAACAGTGCTGTAAAAGGGATATGTAACCAAGTTTCATCAAAGGAAAACTATCCCAAGTTCATTAAAATAGCAACTAACCTGAAATTATGTCTGTATCCAACTATAGCAGCTTTCTTTCCAGTGTTGTTCACTTAGCTGCCCACATACTAATACGTCTGAGGATGTCACTGAGGAGTCAGTTATTAGAGGCTCCTAACATATGAAATAAAAAAAGGCCAGTGTTTAGTTTTTCCACACTTACGGAAAGTTGTCACTTTGGTCGGTATTACGAACCCACCATCTCATTGATAAGTTGTGTTGTGTTGATTACACTATTGCAGCATGCTCATCATGCAGGATTTATATGGATAAGAACACAGATGCCTTGCTTGTTTGTTCACCAATGTTGTGCACTGAATCAAGCCACAATATTGTAAATTATACAAGAAGCCTGCTGACTGGTTCATGGCTTCACTAGTTGTTTTGTAGAGCTGGTAGATAAAGAGTCTGTCCTCAGATATGGTTAACACTTACTAACACCCTTGCTGTAAAAAGTGCAGAGAGGTTAGTTGCAGTACTTTTTGCTGTATTGCTATTGCCTGTGTAGGACTGTTGCTTTTATGTGTTTATTTATTTTGTAAGTTGGACATACAGATAACATTGTATGCTTGACCAAAATTACACATTCTGACACGCATGTTTGAAAATTTATTTTATTTATTGTTTGCGTGTCTGCTGGGACTCCAACTAAAGGCGATATTGAGGCTTGGTAATGTTTTTTCTTGTCACACTGCAAGAAATGACTTTTTGCAGTGTATGTGCTCAGTAGCTTGGTTCACACAGGTAAAGGCTGCACCTTCTCCAAACACACATAATACACACACTGTAACATAAACCAACTAACTAGCCATAGCACAACAAAAGATACTGGTCATTTGCTGCAGCTTGTTTTGAAATGTCAACATTTTAAAATGGATTTAAGTATTTCATTAGATTAAAAAAAAACATTTTACCATACACAGTTCTTCTGTTACTTGTCACTGACTAGATACTCAGCTATGTGCTATTCGGAATTGTGTCTGTCAAATTGAAATATGCTGTCTACTCGTGTTTAGCAACGTTCGTGTGAATAATGTACTATTATTATCTGATGTATAAAAAGTAGAGTTAATGAAACACAAGTGTAGGTCTATCACATGGAATAAAATAAAGATATTTCACCAAAATGTTTACATCTGTGATCCCTTTCTTTATGAAGCACAGCTGTAGAAAAAAGTTCCATTACAGATGTTATGGCACATTCATAATTCTCTCATGCCAAATTTGTTGCGTAAGCGTTCATACAGTATGTTCTGTGCTTCAGTACAAATAATAATTTAGAGTATTTAAAGTGAAGATGAGAAACTTGTTTTGCATGGGGGGTGGGGACACATGTAGTGACATTAGACTGAAACTATTGGTAATTCAGAACAGGGCTCAACCTTACAACAGAAGGTGTGGCCAAATATGAGCATGAGGTTGCATTTCACACAGGAACTCTACTGTTTTGTTTATCTTTGGCTTAAAGCTACTGAAAGCATGTGTGATTAAAATAGAATAAATGAGCTGGACTTACATAAGTGATATGTCCTATGCTTAATATCTTAATAGTTGAATCTGTTCTACTGATTATTTTGAAATTGTGCATCACCTATAATACCTGAATATGATTTGTGTTCTGTTTTTTATTATTTATGGACATAAATCGTCTAAGTTAAGATATAACTATTAGTTATTCAAATAAAAATAGCTATATCTTTATAATTATTACAGATTCACCTCCATTACAGCCAAGGAGTTAATAGGCTACATTTTATTTACTTTACTTAGGACTTTTAATTTGAAGTTTTTTTAAGAGTCCAGTGCCCAGGCCTACGCTTTTGTTATTTAACTCGTGGTTTAGTTCTTCTATTGTTTGATATTTACGGTCGTGATGAAACTGGAATGTCATCAACGCTGAGCAATTCGCACCTACCCACTCCCCCGAGCAGCCCACAGTGTTCGGCCCACTGCGGGACAAACTGTCTTTACGTACCTGCCCAGTCCAAGCGCACCTGGGTTCCGGAAGTAGCGTGACGTCAGCGGGAGAGGTGTTAGAAGGCATGGCTCAGGAATTCGACACAAAAATCCGGCTCGACTGGACTGGTGATCGACTCGTTTATAAACGTGCCCCCAGAGGCACACGGCGAGAAAGGCTTTAAACCTCGTTAGTCGACTACAGGTCAAACACTCACTGGACTGAGCGCCGGAGATTTCCTCTGTGGATTCTCTTTAAGAAGAAGACGAAAGAAGGATTTTATTGAAAGATACACAACAATGTCTGGGGACAGTATTTTACCGGATGAGGAGGTTTTTGCTGGCTTCATAGAGCAGTGCTTATCAAAGGACAACTGGTTGAACAAGTATGATAAGAGTGGGATGCAAGTGTGGGTCGAACAATCTCCTGTGTATAAAGGAAACAACGTACCTAAAGTCCATAAAATCAAGGTAAGTTAATTTCACATTAATCTTTAGGAAAGCAACTAGTGGAATATGGTTGTTGTCTTTTGGGTACTAGGTTATAATGTGAACTTGACATTGGCCTATTCTCACTGTGTCTCTTGTGTTTCAGTGTAAAATGACAATCAGTGATGTGTCTGCTGCTGCCATGTTCGACGTCCTGCATGATGGCCAGTACAGAAAGAAGTGGGACCCCACCATGCTGGAGAGTTTCGACATTGCCCGGCTCTCTGCTAATGCTGATCTGGGCTACTATTCATGTAAGAACTCCTGGCTGCATAAACCTTATCACCTTCCTTTGTGTGTTCATCTGTTTGGTGACCCATCGATCAAAAGCCAGTTAGTCAGTTTCACCTGTTACTCACAAGAAATACAAACACTATTAGGGAATATGCACTTTCCTATATGAAGGGCAGTATGAGACAGTACCTGGTTAAAATCAGTGCTCCTGTTGAAGAAATGAACATCGACTGACCAGGTTCTTGATGCATTAAGAGCGTACATTACAACTAAATGATTTCAGCAAGCACTCTGGCTTTATAAGAGTACAGTAAATAATAGAGTAAGACTGACCTTTATTTAGGATTATAGTGTTACAAATAATTATTTCCTCATCAGCCTGCATATCGTACTACATGGAAACCAGTTTTTTCCTTCACAGTGCACCTTTGTGTCATTGCTTTTCACTTCTGTGTTAGAATCCATTTCCTCTGTCAGCCCTTTTGTCAGCTGCTGAAGCCCTCAGGGATGAAGTGAGCAGCCTCCTGCTCCACCAGAATATTTATTGTCATAACAAGGTTGCACTTGTTGAGTCTAAGGCTGTGACAGTAGAAAAGCTGAAGTAATGAAGGAGGTCTAACATGATATGACCTGATTTTTGTCTCTTCTTATCTGCAGGGATTTGTCCAAAGCCAATAAAGAACAGAGACGTGGTAACACTGCGTTCTTGGCAGGTGAAGGATGACGAGTACGTCATTGTTAACTTCTCCGTCAAACACCCGGTACGTCACTTCCTCCCACACACTCCCAGCAACAAAGCAACCACTGTCTTTAAACATGCTGTTTTTAGGACTCTCTGGTACTTTGTTTTCTGTTACTTACGAACATATGTCTTATCTACAGTAATAGTGGCACATGTCTAAACAGCATATTATGGCCAATTTGTTTTTAATTAACACTGGTTAATTAGTGTTTCTAATTATTCTACAAACTGCAGAAATACCCTCCTCGCAGCGACCTTGTGAGAGCCATTTCCATCCTCACTGGCTATTATATCAAGTCCACCGGACCAAACAGCTGCACCTTCATATACCTCTCACAAGCCGACCCAAAAGGTAGGACATTAACCAACAATGACATTGTTTATTCAAAATGAACATTTTTGCTGAACGTTTTTAGAGCTGTTTTTATGTTTTTGCTCAAGGCTCTCTTCCAAAGTGGGTGGTAAACAAAGCATCTCAAGTTCTCGCTCCTCGGGTATGTAACATTACAAAGTCTTTGCTACAAAAAGATTTGTTTACTTCACTGGAAGTGGTAAAAATATAGGAACTGTGTGACAGGGTGGGCATGTGTGAGGTGATTATAGAGATTATTATGACGTGTGTAAGAGGTGTGTGTGTAATGGAGTGAGGTTTCTTGTGCCTTAAAGAACAATGGTAGCCATAGAAACCCATTTTAAGGGCCTGTCCTAGGAAGAGTGCTGACAAAGGAGTTTCTCAGCTCGAGCTGCTGTTCTCGCTCCTGGCAGAACTCGTTCCCCAGGTTTCATTTCCTCTGTAAACAGTTTAGACCAAAGTGGACCAGTGTGTGTGAGAAACTGTCACTGAGACCTAACTAGACACTAACTTTGACCTTTTTTTACCAAGTGACTGAGATTTATATAAACACTGGCTAAGTATTGGACATTCAGAAGGAGGACGAAATAAAATTCTTAATTGTAGTGCACTTTTTAATCACCTTAGAGTAATAATACACGTTTAAATCAGTAATAACATCAAAAGAAGAACAATTTAGGTATCAAATTACAATCAACAAAATATTTAAGCAGATTCTGTCACTTTGATGGTTTGGTTTAAAAAAAGCGGAACAGTTTTGTTTGCCATCTCAGCGAGGTCACGATTTTCTGAGACTTGTAACAGCAAAAGCAAGCTCACCATTAATGCATGAGAACGTAAAGGCCTTTGTTAAAAAGCTGATGTCTTACATTGTGTATGACATTGATATCTTAGCTTGAACATTTCTGTAGACTGAGTCAGAGGTTTCACAATCACTGCATGCCACTGCTTCCCATTTAATCTGCCACAGCTATTTTTATCTTGAGCTTTGTTGACTGAGAATGAAGGTGTGATATGATCCTCACTGACAGACTGCATCTCTGTCCTTACAGGTGATGAAGTGTGTACACAAGGCAGGGCAGAACTACCCAGAGTGGAAGCAGCAAAACTCTCCCAACCGGAAACCCTGGCTGCACCCAGAGCAGAACACCCTGCCCATGATGGACCCCGCCGAGCTGTCGATACAGAGAGCAGACTCGCTAGAAAATGTGGATGAGACTAACAAGGTGGATGCTCAGGACAGCGAGGACAGCAGTTAAATCACACTCAGAGTGACAGGAGGACCGGTGATTGAAGGATGGACTGTATATTACTGACAAATACTTTTAAGACTCGAGACCTCCAGCTCTGTGATATCGCCCCTAATCCTCCAGTCTTCCAAATCAGTGTGTGCCTTTTGGGATGAGCAAAAGTATGAAGTGTTTACAACTGTCTCACCAGATGGAAATGAGCACAGATCAAATTGCCATTCAAGCTCAGCGTCTCTGCAGTGCTTGCTGCCAAGATCTAAATTATGTTCATTGTACACAGGGTAGGAAGTGTTGGGGTTTGAATGTGGCACAGTTACAGGACTACATTTACAATAGGCCCTCTTTTAGTTACAGCTGTGTAAAATACACATGAACACTTCTTTAAATGAGGGGAAAGTTAGTGTAGTTGTCCACTAGTGGCTCTTTATGTGATGCTGAATGGAAAAAACATTGGTACTGTCGGTGGTGAAGTAACATTATGCATTTCTGACCCATGTTCACTCTTCATTAGATCAAAATTATTGGAGCCTGAACAGGACACTTTTATTTTGTTAAATCATGTTACACTGATAAAACAAGCTTCATATTAGTAAGAGAACATGGATTTGTATTGCAACTAGTGGAGCCGACCTTGAATCTGTCTTTCAGAAACCTTTTTTTTAGTTTAAGATAGAAGGAAAAAAAATAACATTTCATGAATCCTACATTTGCTAATATGGAGTTCATCACCAAACTTTAATTCATTTAGTCACAATTAGTGTATTTCTGTCTTCCATGTGTAACACAGGAAGACTGAAGGTTCATTGTTTTACCCAGTTGTTGTGTGATCAAAGTGTGTATACTGTAATTCTCATTCTTCTTGAGCTACACAGGATTTAGACTTGCATTGGCACTTGAGTGGATCAGCTGCTGTGGGAATGAAAAACATGTGAAATGAACACAACAAGGTTGTATTTTGCCAGTTGAATATAACTTTGGCTGAAGAATTAGAATAACCATTAAGGAAGGATATTATTTTATTTATTTATTTGAAGTTATTGTGAACTAAGATGAAGGCATGACTGAGGAGAGACCCTGGAATGAAGCCCTGCAGGCAGAGAGCATGAGGTTTGTCTTCTTAAGATATTTGATTACAAGAATGTTAAGACAGGTTTCAACCAGAAAATAAACCTCAGAAGCTGGACATGCTTGAGTAATTAGTGTGACTGACTGCATTCTTCTTTAAGCTGAGTCAGTCTCAAGAGAAACCAGCATACAAAGTGGAACAGGTTTGGCTACTTGTAGCAGAGCACACAACTCCCATTTTCAGCTCTGGTTCAGGCTCTGTGATGTATTAGGACAAATTTAACTAGGGTTCAAAATGTTTACTGCCATGTTCTTTTATGAAAAATGCCAATAAACACTTGTTTCATAAGGAGCTCAAGATCATTATGAAACATTCATAAGGTGGAAAATCTAAAATTGTTTAATACAGTGATGAGATACAACAGGCAAACAAATGTTTAAAATACATTGTTTGTACTAACATAATGCAGAAACATCCAGAGGTTTTCAACTGTTTCATATAAATATCCTAATGTATACTGATTTACTTCATCACCAAAAGGTTGCATCTCCTGTCTTTAAATCTTGAACCAGGGGGGCCAAAACAAATGAAAACCTGTCGACCTCATGGCCTCCATCACCGACGCACAGATTAACAACCTATTACAGCCTTTATCACTAAACTAAGATGAAGAGCAAATGTATTAATATAATGCACTATAATATCGTGCTAGAACCACCTGTCAGTAGTTTGGCATCTCAAATGTATCATTTATACATCAAATAACTACAGTACAATATTATGTAAAACTAACCGTGCATAATAAAGTTAATACTTGATAGTATTTAATGCTTGGTCCACATTATTTACACAACTTACTATTTCCCATACAATTACAAATATTAGATGAAATGTTTTAAAAAGCTGGATGTACAGCATTTTCACAGCGATATTTAAAATCTACCAGAAGTCCGGCACTGTTGTTTGGGCTTGCAGTATGCACGGCCATGCTGCTCTGAGGTGAGGTGGCACAGTAGCGCAGCGGTTAGCACTGTCACCTCACAGCAAGAAGGCCCCGGATTTGAACACTGCGGCCGACCGGAGCCTTTCTGTGTGCAGTTTGTGTAGGTTTTCTCCAGGTGCTCTGGCTTCCTTCCACATTCAAAAGTGACTCTAAACTGCACTGTGGGTGTGAGTGTGAGTAGTTGTCTGCCTCTACATGCCAACCTTGTGATAGACATGACGACCAGGCCAGGATGTACCCCTCCTCACACCCAATGTAAGATGGGATTGGCTTGTGCCTCCATGACCCTCTACAGGATAAGCGGTATTGATAATGGGTGGATATTTCTGTAGTGACAGTAGAAACATCTAATGAAGGGTTGAGGAAAGCTAAATAAAGGCTGTGTTTATTCAATTATGCAGTCTATAAATATTGTTTGACTGGAAAATATGCATCAGGTCCACAATTTATGATGTAAAATGTCTACTAATCATCTGCTAATAAACTTCCAAATTTCAAGAGACTATAGAAGTGACTTCCTGTGCATGCATCCTGATCGAGTAGAAATCATCATGCATCACAGTAGATGAGAACGTGAGAGGAAACTGACCATTTAACTGAGAACATACTGTCCCATACGGAGGATTTGAATGACTCTGTTAGTCAGACATCAGTCATCTTGAAGCTGAGACAGAATGGAGGTTGGAGTCTGTGGGAAGAGGGTCATGATGACGTGCAGTGCCATGTTGGTCCACCTCTCTCACTCTCTCTGCTGCCACCTAGTGTACAGTCCTCTCCTTCTGTCTTTGGTAGTCTGATAATAGATTACACAAGGCACAACATGACAATACTGACAAGGATTCCCTCATATCATCTCCTCCCAGTATGATATACAGTCATTCTGTGAATCCAATACCAGTTTTATCATTGTTGAAGACATGCAATGAGTAGTAGCTTGCTACAGTATGTGGGTACTGTAACATACTGGTGTCTGAGTACTGACATTTACTCCTTCAAAAAGATGTGTGGAAGCTTCTCTCATAGATTAACTTTTAAATGTCATCATGATAAAGCATATTCTGGAGTATGAGGATGCAATAATAAAAGGCACAATTCATGTCACAATATCCACTCAGAATCTGCTATCATGCCAAAGTGAATGTTATATCTTACCTTAACACAAGACAACAACTAAATCTTACCTATTTATGTTTTCTGATGCTGTTAAATGTTTGTCTGCATCAATAACGTTCACCAGTTTAGAAACATGAATAATTTATTTATTTGAGCTCTGACTTTTTTCTCAGAATTTTGACTTTAAATTCAGATTTCTGAGAAAAAAGTCAGAGCTCAAATAAATTTTGTACAGTGGCCCTAATCCTCTTTCTTAACAATAAATGATTTCCTCCATATTGACTTCATTTTACAGCATGCATCATCTTGCTGTTTACAGTATGTACTATATTCCATGGTTTGATTTTTTCCTATATATTCTCTACAAAAAGTACAGTACAAAAATGAAATATAACCTTTAGGACAAAACTGTTTTACAATATATTCTCAGTAAGTATAAATTAATCTCAAAATTAGATCGTGTAGGCATTTTACCCAGTAACGTAAATCCTGCATTAAAAAGATTATATTTGTTATTTCTCTAAATCTAAAACACCTTCACAAAGAGCAAAACGTGAAAGATATAACTATATGGTCAGTCATAAGTTGTCATCATGCACTTGATATGATTTTTTTAGAGCTAGACTTACTGTAAGGAAAGAAGCGAACCCTCATCAGGATCTCCCGTGCAGTCTTCAGAATCTCTACAGCCTGAACAGGAAGATAGAGAGATCAATCAGTGGACAGACAGATAAACAGACAGACAGATAGATAATCAATGACTTAAGTCAGTAATTTAAGATAACATTTATATATTACATTTTGCTGGGAAACATTATATTAAAACATGCAACTGGCACATTTTAAAATAAAGGCCCACTTTCAATATCACCAACCAGAGGTGGGAGTGGGTCACAAATGTGCAAGTCCCAGGCTACTGTGGTGAGAATCAAGCAGGCCATAAGTCAAGTCATACAAAATTCTGATGATCTGACAATGTTATGGGAGTATCACGTATTTAAGTGAAATGTTCTCAAACCTTCTCTGATTATTAAATGTGCATTCATAGGCTATAAACTAACTCCTAGCTATTCTAAAAGGCATGCCTTTCATGGTTATTCTAAACCCTTCTCAATGCATAATTGATTTGAAGCCATGTCTAACAGCTTAAACATAGTGTTAGCTTTTTAGCTAATGTCTGACCAGCCAATAAGTTAGCTTTGTGAGTTTTCTAATGACACATGAAGTTGGATGTTGTGGTGCAAGCAAGTCAAGTCTCCAGTCCTCAAATTTGCAACTTAAATACGACTCAATTCAAGTCATGTGACTCAAGTCCCCCACCTATGCCAGCAACACCCAACAGTATATACAGTATGTAAATCATTATGGATCTCAGCTTTAAAGTACTGCTCTGACTTACTCTTGAGTGCTCTATGTCTTGGAAATCAACCTCATTCACAGACAGAACCTGGTCTCCCTCTTGTAGCCCTGCTCTGTGGGCATCTGAGTCTGGAACCACCTACCAACACATCACACGTACACATACTGCAATTTGAAACCATAATTTGGATGTTTGTGGACATGTGGGTAAAACAGGAAACAAATCTTTGGCATTGTACAAATAAAACTGAATTGAATTAATCAGCAGCACAACAAGTATGAATGCAAGTAAAAGCCATACTGAACACCAGGGGCACACACCACACACCTTGGATATAAAGATTCCTAACTGTGATGCCTTGCCTCCACGGATGTTGAAGCCCAGCTGTGCTCCTGGAGGTTTCTTCAGTACAACGGTGCGTGGTAGGAACTGGGTGAGTTCATTGTTGTAGTCAGGGTGATGGACACGCTAAAAATGTAATGTGACAATGTAATATCACAATTGTGGAATGATGTTCATTATGACTCGGAGAGCTTGATTCTTCTTACACACCATGCCTAATTAGGGAGCAATCTGATGAAAGTTAAAATAATGCAAAAAAAAAAAAAAAAAGTCACAGGACATCACATACCAGAGAATTGGGAACATAGATTCACCTATTTTGTAGCTTTGCAACTCAGTGAATCAGCAGAAAAGTTATATGGGTATAAAAGTTAATTCCAGTAAGGCACATTGGCCTAAAACTTCAATCAAGGCCTTGAGATTAGGTTTTTTTATTGTTGTTTTTTGTTTGTTTTGGTCAAAGTAATATCTGGTTATAAGCACAGAGAGTGGTTCTGCTAATATGTCGCATACCTCCTGTGGAGGTATCCATGCTGGTGGATTCTCATAAGAAGGCAGGAACACCACAGGGAGCTGGTAGTCATCATAAGGAATTTTCTGATCCATTATTTCTGAAAGTACCAAAAGAAAGAGAAATTCGCTGATATACCAGGTCGTTGAATGTAATATTACTTACGGAATAAAAACTAGCAAGCAGACCAAAATATAACACTAGTTATACAGCTAGATAACAGCTATATGTCATGGTATCTCAAGTTACTTTCACATCACATAGTGCCTACTAGGTTCTAGGTTGTTAAAACAACACTTTACAATACAGAGTAAACCTGACCACATAATACAAACACAGATAAACATTTGGATCGGATAACAGAAACAGAAAGTGAAAACGTAAATGGGAAATTTAACACTGGAATAACATACAGACAAGCTGCTAGCTCACGCTACTATTAGCTTACTCATTAACTTCGAAACGAGGTTATGTTGCTCTATTAAACGCATATTACTTTACTGTTATAATCATTCGAAAGTACAACGACAAAGATACTACATTGCATCTAATTGAAAATGCAGAGTTACTGGCATAAAACAACAAATAACCTCACCTCAGAATTGTCCAAAACAAATAGCAACAATCACTTCTTCTATCTTAAAAATGACAGACACCCTGAACAATACTGCCCCCTACTGTCGCGGAATGAGCATTACAATAGTTCATAATATCATCTACCACTGTACTGTATGTTCTATTCAACTTAATCTGGACTCAAAATATACTCCCAAAAATGAAAAATTCTGATCTCTCGATTTCCATATAATTTTAAATTATTACATTCCCTTGGTTTCTTTCTTGCTTTTTCTTTTGTTTCTTTGTTTGTTTGTCTAGTTTTGTTTTGACTAAAAATGTGAAATCCCTATTTCATCCCCCACCTTTTAACTTGATTAATTCAGTCTTGTATTTTCTTGACTAGATGCTCTACATTTCCCCCTTTCTTGATCAAAGTCCTATCATCTACAATCAATGATTATCCCATATTCACTGGCATACAGTGCCTTGCGAAAGTATTCGGCCCCCTTGAACTTTGCGACCTTTTGCCACATTTCAGGCTTCAAACATAAAGATATAAAACTGTAATTTTTTGTGAAGAATCAACAACAAGTGGGACACAATCATGAAGTGGAACAAAATTTATTGGATATTTCAAACTTTTTTAACAAATAAAAAACTGAAAAATTGGGCGTGCAAAATTATTCAAATCCACATAAGGGATGACGGCAACATTCATAGATCCTGGAATGCACAATGAGGGGCAATGTTCATTCCTATTACAGAGGCCCACTGAAATTTTTTTGAGGAAAAGCTGTGTTAGACTGCATATTGTTTATAGTAAAGTATTTTTATATACAAATATAAAAATGAAAATGTTTCTGGAGTGGGACTTTAATTAATTATAGAAGTTGTGCAGAAGCTGCCCATAGCTCTACACAGTGATCCATGTGTGTACTGTATGTGTTTCTATGCTGCTCCAAATGAGTCTGTTCTGGTTCAACTTGTCTTATTAAATGAGCTTAAAAATAAAGTGACACCTTAGTTATAAAACACTGAGCAGGCTGTAACACACAAGAGTGTGTCTAAACATATCCAGGTGTTAGAATGGCTATGTCAAAGTCCAGACCTGAATCCAATCGAGAATCTGTGGAAAGAACTGACAACTGCTGTTCACAAACGCTCTCCATCCAATCTCACTGAGCTCGAGCTGTTTTGCAAGGAGGAATGGGCAAAAATTTCAGTCTCTTGATGTGCAAAACTGATAGAGACATACCCCAAGCGACTTACAGCTGTAATCGCAGCAAAAGGTGGCGCTACAAAGTATTAACTTAAGGGGGCTGAATAATTTTGCGCGCCCAATTTTTCAGTTTTTTATTTGTTAAAAAAGTTTGAAATATCCAATAAATTTCGTTCCACTTCATGATTGTGTCCCACTTGTTGTTGATTCTTCACAAAAAATTACAGTTTTATATCTTTATGTTTGAAGCCTGAAATGTGGCAAAAGGTCGCAAAGTTCAAGGGGGCCAAATACTTTCGCAAGGCACTGTAGTTGCAAATATATAATTTATAATAACAAAAATAAAGCAGAACTTAGAACACTCCCCTGGGGTTTCCCATTTTCCATAACATGTTTATTGGATAATCCTGACCATATTTCTTTCAATTAGAAAATCTGTAACCCATCTGGAAACTTTCCCTCTGACTGCCATTCCCTGCAACTTGATCAGCAATCCCTCTCTCCATTAAATTTCATATACTCTTTCAACATCTAAAATCACTGCTGCTGCTGTCTCTTTATTCGGTTTAGCTTTTTTTGTCTCATTGTCCAGACAGAGTTCTAGGTCCATGTCCATTTCTCTCCTTAAATCTGCTTTGGTACATGGCCATCATGCCAGTTCTAGCATATTTTAAGTGCATTAGTCTCTCATTAACTGTCCATTACATCAATTTCCAGACATGTGATGTAACATATTTCTTTTTTCCCTGGAGCAGTTTTCTTATTCTTGTATTATGACTAATGTGACTCAGGTGTCTGTCATTTTCTTTCTGATATTTCTCCCACCATTCTCAAATGCTCACTTATCATGCCTGTCTTCTGTGGTTAGTGAAAACTTTGTAAGAGTCACACCCTCCCCTTCCCCCACCACCATCTTTTCAATCTTTCCTATAAGTGTCATGTATCCAAAATAAAATCTAGTTAGGCTTTATCATGACTCTCAATTTCTCTCTTCAGCTATAAACTGTGTAAAGTCTTGTTTACAGTATTAGCAATCAGGCTTATTGCGGTCGACTGGTGAATTAAAATTATTAATGGTGTGACACCTGCTGACTTTTGATTGTACACTGAGCTCATCCCTTGCTTCTTCCTTCAGCAGTTCAAACCTACCTTATCCAAGTTCCTGTTGCTTTAACATTATGCATTTTTATACTTAATGTCTGATGTTCAGTCTATATTTTGCAGAAATGTATTTTCTGTTACATTCACCCTCCTTGTTCTGTATTCTTGTTGTCCAGCCCTCTTGAATAAACCCTTTGTTTTTCATTCTTAATGTGTTGCAACACCTTTTCTACAACCCCCATAAACCACACTGATTACCTCCAGGATTACAACACATGACCTTATAGCCACAGTCCCACATTTCTGGAAAATAAAATACCTCACAGGCTTAGATGTGTGACTCTCTTAAAATGTCTTTCACAAATCTGAAGTTTTGCTCCTTTGGGAGAA